CGTAGTTCTATATGCCCAGAGGACGTTGTTGAGCTCGTCTGCCCATTTGGCCTTGTGTTGTTCCAGCCTCAACTTTATACCTTCTAAGATGCACTTGTTAACAGATTCGACCATGCCGTTGGACTCCGGATGGTAAACCGAGGTGAACTGCAGTTTAACCCCGTAGCTGGAACAGAAATCTCGAAAAGAGGTGCAGTTAAATTGAGTTCCATTATCAGCCACAATCTGATTCGGGATCCCATATCTGCAAATGATTGAGCTGAAAACAAAGTCTTCAACCTTCTTGGAAGTAAGACTGGATAACGGCCTAGCTTCAACCCACTTTGTGAAATAATCTACGCCGACAATCAGGTGGGTTACACCACCAACCCCTTTCATGAATGGGCCCAAAAGATCCAATCCCCACTGAGCAAATGGCCATGGTGCTACCAGAGTAGTGAGCTCTTCTGCAGGCTGGTGAGTCAGGTGTGCAAAGAACTAGCATTTCAAGCATCTCTGAACAAAGTGAGTGGCATCCTTGTATATGTTGGGCCAATAATAACCCTGTTGAAGGACTTTATGAGCCAAAGTTCGAGCACCCACGTGACTTCCGCAGACACCTTCATGCACCTCCTTGAGTGCATATTCTATTTCATAGGGATTCAAGCACCGTAGAAGAGGTAGAGAGAAAGATCGCTTATAGAGGACCCCATTGACAAGTGTATACCGAGATGCTTTCTTCCTCAGCTTCATTGCCTCCTGCCTGTCCTCAGGTACTATCCCATCTCGTAAGAAGGAGAGGATTGGGTCAGTCCAGCTCGGTGTGCCTGGATCTGTGCTGATCTCCATCACCCGTGGCTTCATGAAGCTTGGTTCATCTAAGACCTTCACAAAAACTGATCTGGAATGTGAAGAACTATTAGAGGCAAACTTAGAGAGTGAATCTGCCTGTTCATTCTCAGTTCGGGGGATTTTGCTCAGGTAGAATTTTTGGAATTTGCACTTCAGTTCGGCTACCAGAGCTACATATTTCACCATCACAAGATCAACGGCTTCGCAGATTGAGTTAATTTGGTTTACCACCAGCTGAGAGTCACTGTATACTTGGATCGCACTGAGTTTTAATTCCAACGCTAGCTGCAGACCAAGTAGTAGGGCTTCATACTCAGCCATGTTGTTTGTTGCGTCAAAGTTAAATTTCAAAGCATGTTCACTTCGGTATCCATCTGGGCCGATCAAGAGGGCACCAGCTCCTGAACCTTTGCTACTAGATGCCCCATCAACATATAAGGTCCAGTCATTGGGCTCCGGAGTAGGAATGGAATTACCTAGAGTGCACTCTACAATAAAATCTGCCAGTGCCTGAGCTCGGATTGTAGATCTCTGCTGAAATGTTATCTCAAATTCCCCAGTTCCACTACCCACTTAATTAATCTTCCAGAACACTCAGGCTTTTGCAGAATCTGCCGAAGGGGTTGGTCTGTAAGAATAATGATCGAGTGCGACTGGAAGTATGGCCTCAACTTTCTTGCCAAAGTGACAACTGTTAAGGTTGCTTTCTCAGCTATAGGATACCTCAGCTCGGCTCCATGCAGCACACTGTTGATATAATATATTGGTTTCTGCTGCTTGGCTTCTTCTCTTACCAGAACCGAACTAATGGCTTCGTCTGAAATTCCCAGGTATAAATAGAGGATTTCTCCATCT